CCCACATGCTGAGACAGATCTCCTGCCTTTGCTTCCAAGAGAGCCGCCTCCAAGATTTCCTGAGGGTTTAGGGTTTAGGGTGTAGCTGCAAGGTTGAGAGGCGCAACCAAACTACGGTTGATGGACAAAAATCCTGCATGACCTTATATACCTAAACCATGGGATTTATGGTACTATACTATATTTGGGTCATGCAGAATTTTGTCCATCAACAGTAACACTATACTCTGAATAGCGCTTAGCCCCATTCTGTTCCGGGCGAAGGATGCTGAGTGGACTGGTAAGTGACGTCCAGTTGGACCAGAACTATATACCAAAGATGATGGGCCCACCGCCGTCCTCGCAATGTTGACTGGCAAATGTTTCAGACATCTGAGTTGTGCCTACCGGAAGTGCGAAACCGAAGGTTCTTGCCGAGCATACTTGGAAACTGTGCTTCGGGTGCGATCATGGATGAGAACTGTGGGTGCAATCTAATCGGCGCATGATTGTTTGCTTTTCGATTTTGGATGGTTCGCACTGGAAGCAGGGAGTCAAACTGCCAGCGGCTAGAACGGATCTGTTGGCTAGGATCTGACTTTTAGCCTGAGGCACGACGCGAAGGCCCCAGCAATCGCCGTGTTGGTAGCTCTCGGCATTACAATCGAATACCATAGGGGCCTTACTTAAAACCTAGACTATGTTGGGGCTCCTTGTCATAAGCACAATATGATGGGGCCCAAAACCGGATTATTATTCAGGCCCCCACAGTATGCCAAACCCATCCTTTCGAGCTTTGAGTTTGTTTGCTTTGCAGCATCGTGGCCCTGAGTTTGTTTGCTTTGCAGCATCGATCCCCAGCCACGGTTGTACCGAAGGTGTCATCGTCATCGTTGGAGATGGCATACTCTGGTAATGGAGTTCTCTGATGACAAGCCAACAAAAAAGCACCAGCATGCAGGGAAAAAAGTACACTCAAGAGGAGAACAAAGAGGCAAAAACACCACACAATCAACTAGGTAGAGTTCGAGGGCAAACAACGGCTACAGAACCTACTGGACGCTGCAGGTTGAGAATTCGACTAGTGAAAGGATCTGCCTCGGGCTCCGGATAGTTCGGATGAAGTTGCGAGACTGGTTACCTCCAGCCCCATGGTCCACCACTGCAAACTGCCTACTACTGCTACATGCTATAGGGACCTCACTAATTGCAATAGGGTTTTGGGGTATATTATACTATGATTCTCATAAGGAACCCCCCCAAAGTAGTGTTGGAAATTATTTAGGCCCATATTGTAGGCATGGATCTCTGGCAGCCTGATCTCTGGCTTCTTTGAGGGCGCGGCTGGCTTCTGCGGAGAACTCCGCTTCACAGCGACAGGTTTGAAGTTCCTTGGAGCCGCGGGAACCACCCGGGAGTCCGCATGCTGAACTCTGAACTTAGGGTTGGGGTCCAGGGTTGAGGGTTTAGGGTTTGTTTGGGGTTAACGGTTTAGGGTTTTGGGGTTTTGGGGGTTCAGGCGCACTTCAAGTCTTTATGGTTGCGAGGTCTGAAAGCATCCCACTTCCAGACTAGGGGCAGTGGACAAACGTCGCACGCCCAAACCTTTCTCCTGCGTCTAAGACCGCCAGACTAAACCTCAAGCCCTAATGAAACCCCTATAAACCCCCTAAACCCGAAGCCCTCAACCCCCGGCCCGATTACACCGCATCCAGTTTGCAGCTTCTGCAAGCTCCTTCGCGAAGCTCCAACTGAGCCCGCTGCTCCTTGCGGATGTTCTTCTCGGCGTCGACCAGCTCCAAAGCCTCAAGACCAAGAAAACCAACCTAAACTCCTGGATCCGCTAAGAAAGACTGCAGATAGGATCATCCTATCACTGGGGTCCAAAATCAAGACAACATGCATAAGGGGTCTAAAACTACTTGTTCTGAGGGCATACAGTTGGTAGCGTCGCTCGTCACTACCAGGTCACTACCACTACGGTCGCACGCATGGGGCACTTGCCATTGCTCGGGTCAGGGGTGTGCTTCGCAGCGTAAACTTGACAGGAGATGGCCCGACTGGATACAGGACTACGAAGTTACGAAGGGAGACAAAATTATAAAGAAAAGTGTGCATATGGGTGTATATATATATATATAGAAGTGTGTGTGTGTATATTTTTTCTAGAAACATATGTGAACAAACGTATGTTGCACATATAGGTTGGCCCCACTCACTAGATAAAGACGAACAGACGACACAATGATGCTAACCATCTTGACCAAGAGGTTCTGTGAGAGGAATGCGAACATGTATTCACGCATTAACCATGTTGTCATAGTGATTTACGTGACATCGCGGCATGCTCGTATGCGGAAGCGGAGAAACTAGCAGCAGCAGCAGGAGCAGCAGCAGCAGCAGCAATCGTCGTAGTAGCAGTATGTAATCGTTTCCCCCTTTTATTACACACCCCCTAATATTAAAAACATATTGGGGCGAATCCTTCCGATGTCATCCCTGCCCTTTAAAGCCCAGTCTGAATCAGGGGGAGGTTCGAGGGCAAAAGCAAGAGCAGGAGTTAGAGCAAAAGCAGGAGCAAAAGGGGAGCAGCAGCAAGAGCATCGGCAAGAGCAGCAGCAAGAGCGAAGCAAAAGCAAGAGCGGGAGTAAGAGCAGCAAAAGCGGGAGCAACAGCAAGAGCAGGAGCAGGCGCAGGAGACGCAGCAGAAGCAGGAGCAAAGGCCAGAGCAGGAGCACTTAGAGCCACAGCCGGAGCAAGAGCACGTGCCCTCAAAAGTGGCAGTAGAAATAAACATACCCCCGAATAATACACACTTTCCGAGTTTTTATTGGGGGGGCTCCCCGTTTGATAGTAGGGGGCAGGGATTAATTAGCAGTGGTGGTGATAATGAAAACGAAGAACTGAAGGAGCATGCAGTAGTGACACCAGCAGTTCTGCCTGCTGCACCTACCCTAGAAGAAGTTCCGCTGTTCCGCTGTATGCATGACCCCCGCCCTATCCATGTGCTGTCCTTCCCACCCCTATCCCTTCAATAATAACCCTATGCGACCACGGTTATCCTGTACGGCGGCAAGACGAAGCACGCGGCCTCGGGGCTAAGAACCTGAACTAAACCCACTGCCTTCGGTGGAGCTCGAAATTCCCCTGAACCCTGAACCCCCAAACCCTAAAAAAAAACCGAAACCCTGAAAGGGCCTGATGAACGGTTCCGAAGGAACCGCTTCCGACCTTGCCGATGACTTCGTACTTGGTGCCGTCGATCCAGAACTCAGAAGTTTGAGGGTTTAGGGTTTAGGGCTTTGGGGGTGAGGGGTCTAGTGACTAGTGGTTTAGGGGATCAGGGGCTCAGGGGTTTAGGGGTTCAGGGGCTCAGGGGTTAGGGACTAATGACAACAGCTCTGGACCCGACCCTGGCTCACCAGATCGCATAGACGCAGGGCTGCAGAAGTCCGATAGAAGGGTTTAGTGTTGAGGACGTCGATACGAATCACCAGGGGTTTCAGTGCTAAAACTTGGGGCATCTTTGCCAGGGTTTAGGAGAATGCTGAAAGGCAAGAGACCGCCTGCTCCGACTGGGCCAATGTCTGGGTTTAGGGTTTAGGGTTTAGGGTAGGGTTTAGGGTTCTGGTATTCAAGGTTTGCTCAGCCCAGCTCAGATGCAATGCTAGCTTGTTAGTTATAATCCGCCCCCTAAAATTAAAAAAAAAAAAAAAGTCCGGACACTCAATACTAAAACCCCCTCAATTAAAACAAAAAGACTGTGAAAATCCCAGATGTTTAAAGTCTGCTTGCCCCAGAAGCAAAGCAGTGAATGAGCGGAGAGAAGCCCTGCTTGTGGGACTACTGCGGCACTGCACAGAGAGCGCTTGAGAGCTTCGGACTGCCTTTTGGTCAGCTGGGACCCCCTCAAAATCGGGCGGGTCGGGGCTTAGAATCAACCAAGGGGGGGTGTTATTATGTCGCGGAACTACGCCGAACTTGGCACGCAGCTGGTTTGTGTTCCGACCTGTTGCACACACTGAAGCCTGAGGACAGCAAACCCGTCGAATCTGCCGCTAGCTTGTACCACAAGGCGATGTTGGCGCCTGAACGATTAGAATAAGGTTTTGGGGGATGCCACAGTATGATTCCATGAGGAACGGGCTTATCGGGTTTCTGTACTATGATGTCCTCCCGAATTCACTTCAATTGAAGCCTTGGCCTTAGCTGACAAGGCCCCGGCATATGGGTCGACGTTCCAGTCCTCTCGTGGCTTCGTGGTGATGCCCTTGGGGACGTGTCCTCAGAAGCACTCGCGGCCAGGAAGCAAAGTGGGAGTTTACTGGAGGACATGTCCTCGAAGCACTGGGTGACTTCTGGAGCGTGAGGGGCCGATTTGCACAACTTCATGGCCTCATTTCAAAACCAAGTTTGCGAACCAATTGTTCCCAGAGAGCTCGGGACAACGAACTAGGTGGCATCTCTAACCTAGACTTTGGACCCGTCGTGTCCCAAGCCAGCGGTGGGCGTGAGGACTGCAGGGGCAGAGGTGCAAAGCTTGCTGGATCATCAGACTTCGATGCTGTTCTTCTCCTATGCATCCTGATTCATATGGGGGTTTCCGAAAATAGGGGACCCTAATATAGTACCCTAAATAATAGGATCCTTATTATAAGGGCCCCAAAATAAGGTACCCCTAATTTTCTGAAACTCCCATATTACCTATATTACTGGAACACGAACTCAGCCGCCAAGTCGCCCGGAAGCTCGAGGCAGAAGGTGGGCTTCACAGGAATTAGCCTCAGGCCCAAGAAGCACCCGTGTGTCTGATGTCTGAAGCCTGAAAACTTGGTTACAGTGGCTTTGCTGTTGTTGTTGTTGGAGGTGGAGGTGGAGGTGGAGGTGGTGGTGGCGGTCGTGAACGCCGATTACACATCGCCAAATTCTTCGAGAACGTCGTAGCGCCAGCGCGGAAGCCTTGTACAATAAAATCTTTTTGGCAACCGCCTGCCCACCAAGGAGTTTCAGCAAAGGGCCGTATGCTCCGCCAGGACATCATCAGACATTTTGTCGACAAGCCGATACGTCGAAATCTCAACTGGATCGACGGAAAAGCCATACAATGGTTGAAATTACACAGAAACGACATCGTGATTGTGGACTGCGATAAAGGACTGGGAGATGCAATCATGCCCCGTACCTGGATTAACCAAGAGTTGCAACGACTTTTGGATTCAGGCTTCAAGAAGTTGACACCCAATCAATGTCAGCAACAATCCTTTCTGGCAAGGTCCTGCATTGAAAGCATTGTGAACCAAGCACAGGCGCGCAATGTGATCTGCACGAAACAGGCCGAATTCATCAAAGTTGGTCTTTTTTCAGCCAAGGAAGGAACCTTCAGGTTGAGGGTAAAGCTGCACAAAAACCCGGTCGTTGGCAGACCCATCGCGAACTTATCAAACAGCTGGCTCACACCGGCGAGTATCTTTCTGTGCAAAATGCTAGCTCCAATCCAGGAGAAGTTGACCTACACTGTGCACAGCAGTTACGAGTTCTTGGAATCCATGCCACGCGTGGTTCCACCCGGTTATGAGATTGCGACGATCGACATCAAAAACCTTTACCCCAGCATTGATACAGAGCACATGCTGTTGACGCTTTCTGAGGATATTCTCGTCCACTACGGCCACACCGACCTCGCGAACTTTGTTATCGGTCTGCTCCGTATCGTCCTGCGGAATCAGCTCATACAGCATCGCGGGGAGTGTTTCCAAGCCTTTGGTATCGCGACAGGTTTGCCACCTGGCGTATTTCTCGCAAACATATACGTGAACCACGTTGATCAACTCGTGATGCAAACGCACTCTTCAAAGATCGCGTTCTATGCACGTCTCGTGGACGATTCCGTTGTGTGCACAAGCGACGTCGATGAGATACAGAGAGTCCAAAACTCGTGGCGGCATGATTTGGTGTGGGAAATCTCAAGCCGTGGAGGTCGTTCTGACATCGGCGAAGACGCGGTTGCATTCCTAGACATACAGCTATCGCACCATGGTGGAAGCATGTCTTGGGAAACATACCGGAAGCCCCTGAACAAATACCTCTACATTCCAAGGTCGAGCGCTCACCCTCCAGCTGCTATTGTCAGCCTCATTCGTGGAGAAACCGTTCGGATTTGGCGCACCAACAGAAAGTACACCGATGTGCACAAGCATTTGGAGTTCTTCGCATCTTCGATGGCAAAACGTGGTTATTCATACCAACAGGTCAAGAATGACATTCAGAAGCATCTACGCAAAATCACATCGTCTTCTCAACGAGTGACCAAGACAGCTCGCAAGATGTTTGCTGTTATTAAGTACAGCAGCTCAGTGCCAACGCGGGTTATCAAAACCTGTCTCAAGAGACAGCAACACATCCTGAAAGGATGCTTTAGCTCAGATGTCCAAACCGGCATTGCTTTTTCTGTTCAGAAATCCGCTTTTCGTTATCATTTCGCGGACAACTGGTTGTGGGATGGCCAAGTCGTCCACACGTACAGAACACGGTAGCACTGTATCACACCGACTAGGGCGGGTGGGAGGGTCGGTGTTTTATAAAACACTAGCAGACCAGTTCCAGCAGGGTAATGGACTCCAAAATCCTACTCTGACTATTAAGGCTCAGGCCCCCACATGAATTAATTGTTGGGTCCTTCGGACCCATCGGGTGTTGATATGTCAACGGTTTAGGGTTTAGGGTTTAGGGTTTAGGGTTTAGGGTTTAGGGTTATGGTCTAAGCAATCAACATCCTGACTTTCAGTGTACGTAGAACGTGGGTCTGGAGTTTTAGGTTGTTGTTTGTCGAGATCGCCTGAGCTCCGAAGTGGGCTGAAACGTCTTGGTGATGATGGTGTTCCAATCTGTCACCACATATTTGGTGTTTCGGGCTTAGGGGTGTAGATGAACGTTGGCAGGAGTATACCAAGCACGACGTCAACCACGAACTCTCCATGTCTCCTTGCAGCTCTGCGCCCCTGAACCCCAAATTCCTTAGCAATAAGGCACTAAAGTCACAGAGGAGGTTCTTCACTGTCACACACATACCTACTTACCTACCTACCTACCTACCTACCTACCTACCTACCTACCTACCTACCTACCTACCTACCTACCTACCTACCCACATACATACATACATACATACATACGTACATACATACATACATACATACATACATACATACATACATACATACATATACTTACATACTTACATACGTGATATGGAACCCAACGGAACAGAATTGGTAGTTCTTCAGGCCTCTGTACTACTCTAGAGCTCTTTTACACTTATAAGCACCCTGAAAGGCGCTAAATGAGAAACAACGAAACCATCAAGCACCCTCAACTCTATAGACCGTAAAGCCTTCTTAAGACTCTCAAAAGATTCAAACACGTATTACCCTAATCCCTGAAGCCCTATAGAGCGTGAACAAACGTCAACAGAGGCAGAAGAGCAGAAGAGGCGTGAGGAGGAGGAGCAACGCGATTCGGCCATCAACCGCACGGTTTCTGGTTTTGTGTGCTTCGGATTGAGGTTTATAGGTGTTAAATGAGCTTAGGATTTGGGGTTGTTGGGGGTTGCAGTGGTCTAGAGCCAGGGTGTTCAGGTTTAGCACTGTAGGGTTTTAGGAGTTCGGGCTTCAGGGTTTGGCAAGGTTTCGGGGTACAGACTCAGGACAACAACGGCCTAAGATCTTATCTCGAGACACGAAACCCAAAACTGCAGGGAGCAATGCTTCTAAATCTGAATTCCCAGCTTCCAAACCCAATAGGGTTTAGGGTTCAGGGTTTGGGGTGTTATTCGTTGGGCCCTGCCCTCGATCCCCCCAACCCTGAGCCCAGTCACCTGCACGCAAGTCCGGCTAACTAGTTTCGGCTTCGAGTTACGGAAACCTCCACCTCCTGTGCATAGCCATGCAGCTGCATGCACTCGGCAAGAAGCTGTCTAACCCTAAGCCCTAAACTCTAAATCCTAAACTCTAAGCCCTAAACCGTAAAATCCTATGCCCTAAACCCTATTTAAGGCTAAGGGTCCCGACACCCTGAATTCCCATAACCCCGAAGCTTAGGGTCGATCTCTGCCAGCCGAGGGAAAAAGATGGAGGGTGGTTTGGATCGGATCCTTCACTCGCTGACCCTTCGGCTGTCGTGCAGCGTTCAGGGTCTATAGGATTTAGGGTTTAAATCCTAAACCGCTAAACCCAAGACCCCTAAACCCTAAACCCCTGGGATGTTTTGGTGTAGAGTGTAGGGTCATAGGCCCACCTGGGTCTTCTGGATTTCAGGGTGCGGGTTTGGGGGTTTTCGTTGTAGGATCTAGCTGGTGTAGGGCTTATAGGCTCTATCTACATGATGTTGGGCTTTCAGTGTTTATCTTTTATTTTGTAGATGCTGCGGTTTCGTTTAGGCTTCATGATTTCGTCTCAGACTTTTGTCACCAGGTTTTGCACTGCCAAAGCGCACGGAGCAACTCCATTTTTTATGATCCCAAGTACTTGAGGTAAATGTCCCCGTCGAAAAGGTTCAGACCCTATGTCACTTAAAGCCTGTGCGTTCGCTGGCAGCCCGAGTGTCAATAGGAATAGGATTGTTCAGCGAACCTGTCCGATGGTTTTGCCTTGTCATGTCTCCCTATATACGACAATACTGTACCTCCCAGCCCTGTTCTAATTCTTCGGACCCTAAATTACAACATCTTGCAGCTGAGACGGTTTATTTTGGGCTGGGAGGCTAAGATACAAGCTGTTTGAATTGCCTACT